TCTGAATTACATGGTATGAAACAAATCAGTAAATTGAAAGTTGTGCATCTTCTACATAATATTTTTGGATTACATGGTGTGAAACAAATAAGGACATTGACTGAATGGTGTGCACATTACATGGAAGGGATATCTATGCATCCTCACAAAAATGTTTATGGATTACGTGATATGAAAAAAAATGTTAGTGTGAAATCAGTTATCCTACTTTATCTGTTTTGCAAAACTGTAGCAATTTATCCAAGTAATGTGGGAAAACAACAAGTGGTGGATATTGCACTGAAGTATGTAATTTGCAACGCCCCGAAAATTTTGGAATAAAAATATATTTGTCTTATATGTTATAGTTTTAAAATTTGAGGACTGAAATGAAATAGTGTTTAAAGTCATATTTTATTTGGCACCAATAATTACATTTTGATAGAATAAGTATAAGTATATCAATATTAGGCTCATTTTGTAGCTCGCATTTAATAACGTATTTTCAGCTCAAGAAAATATGAGTTCTTTTGAATTAAAACTAAGTTATTTCAATTCAAAGAAACATAGATAATAAGCATCGTTTTTATTATTTAACAATATTTCTTTTAAGGTAATTAGGAAAAGAAGCTAGTATTTTATCATAATAATCAATGTTTATCTTTTCTATTAGAGAAAGCGATTTAATTATTTTTAATCCTTGTTTACATTTATCTGCCAATATTTCTGATTTTCTGGTGCTCGTGATTTAAGTAGTTTGCAAAGTAATATGTAGGGAGAGATATTTTTAGTTAACTATGATTGATTGATGTTTGGATAAAATAATTTTCTCTTAGATTAAAAATTCATTTGCTTTGATTTTGGAACCCTACTTAGAATATTGATTTAACATTTATGACTTTTTGACCATTCTAAGATGACACACGTTTTTAGGCCTAGCTTTGAATGAATTGGTTATTATATAATAATATTTTTGGACAATCTCTAGCCTCTAGGCATGATGCATGGCAATCATACCTTGTACTCTCAATTGTGTCAATTGCCTTTAAATTAGAATTGGTAAATTTCCTTATGATAAGAGTATGGGTAGCCACACGTGCACGCACATTTCCAACTCTCAATTAGGATAAAGGCTAATTTTAATTGCTAATTGAATTTGAATAATGGTAAGACACGATTTGGGGCATCTAACAAATTTAGTTATTTTGGGCATATAGTCCAATTAAGCTTATAATATACTGTTTAATTATTTATTTCATTTTATATGATGATATGATAACCTGTCATTTTATGTAAATTGACACTAACTTGACCATTCTTATGTTAAGTAGATCCTAATTAATTTAATTTGATTGATATCCAAACAAAGAGTTTTTGTAATTGGACAGATTAATGAGCTAATTGACGAGATTTCTGTTGGTTAGATTGCATAATTACCCTTTATATATTTTTAACAAATTTGGCAGTCAAAACCTTTCTTAATTTTACACCTCCCTTACACTATAAATTCATTCCAAATCCTCGAAAATTTATGAGATAAAAACCACTCTCTTCCATCTTCACTTAACTCTCCACTGCCTGTCCAAGTCTCCATTTCAGAAGTGTTCTCTTTGTATTGTCGAAAATGGGTTTTAATACTCTTAGAAAGGATTTTGGCACGTGGAATTGTCACTGGATCGACCTTAAATCCACAAGACACGACAACAGCAAAAAGGTTTTGGGAACGTGAATTCCTTATTTTTCTATTATCAATTGAGGTAGGATACTTTTATGTGCAAGTGATATGTCCTTTCAATATTATGATTTTCATGCGTGATTTATTTCATGAAATGCTTATTGACCTGCGAGTCCAATGAAATGAAATGAAATGTTTGACCTGTGGGTCTCAAAGAAATGAAATGAAATGTGAGATCGCCTTCGGGTCTTTTCAAATTGTATTAGAGCTTTCGACTGATCACCAATTGCTCTTGACGAAATGTTGGTATTAAATGTTATGAGTTTACGTTTTAAATTATTATATTGTTTGGACGCACGTATCCTACTAAGTGTAATTACTCATTCCTTCAATTTCAATATTTCAGATCAGTACGGTCAACGTGGATGGTGGCTAAACGGTGCGCGAGTTGCCAAGTAAAGAAAAACTTCGTAAGAAAACGTTTTAAAATAATTCTGTTAGGATTATGTGCTTCAATTTAATTCTGTTTAATGTTCTATGTTTACACGACATTTTGTTTATTCAATTTGGAGAGTTTTAAATTTCGAATTAAATATTTTCGCTTTATGTATGCGATACGAAATGATATCGGTAACACCTCAAATTTTAAGTCGATAAAATTTGGGGCGTTACATAATTAAACCACAACTATTTCACAACTTAACATGGAATATTTCATTAATTTTAATAAACATATATAGGTGGTAAACAGCTTCGATAGACACCGTTTGCCTGAGATTTATATAGTTGAACAATTTTCATCTTCTGGTGCTAGAATCATCCTCCACAGTCTCAATTTGCCTCTTAGAAGTTTTCTTCATGTGGGACTTCTTCTTAACTTCAATTGCAGTGATGTGCGAGCCTCAAATGTCGGGAGAGCTGTTGATCCTTTCTTTTGAGTCGGACGATATGGTTAATGAACGTGTAATATATCTTGTGGGAGTTTGTACGTTCTCGCTTTGGGTTCAACTCAACCAAGATTAACCGGCCTACGCCGCTGGTGGCGGTGGCTGCCAGTTGTGGAGAGGAGGGAGGTTGTCTAGGAAATGGAGGCATATTCATATATGATTTGCTTTGTTTATTTCAGTGTGAAACTGAATAAGTCAATAATGAAGTTTTCTATTGCTATGTTTGAATTCAGGTCCCCCAAAAGATTAAATAATATACAGCCGAAACTGAAAACTATTCAACTTCATACTTAGTCTTCCATGTGACGTGAAAGATTTGAGTAAACAATGCTTCAATTTGAAGCAAAGCTGCTGCTTGAAATCTACTCTCACTTGAATATCAAAATATTAATGTTTTTAGTTGGAGTGTTTAAATAACACCATAATTTCAGCTAGAAAATATACCTACAAAACAGCGCACGACAATGGAGCTGCCCATCATAGGCTACTTTCTATCTAAAGTTAGTTGGAGTGTTACACCATAATAAATCCATCTAGGTGCTTGTATTATATAAGAATAATATTACTTGTACACTTTTGGTGTATATAATAGATGACATCCCTTTACATGAAAGGGAGCTCACGCATAATAAATTATGTGCGACCCCCTTCACATGAGGGGAGTGTCAACGATTATGTACACGAAAAGTATATATGGAACATTACCCATTATATAAATATATTTACATGCATGTATTATAATTAATCGATATACTATTTTTGAGGCCTTTGACACAGCCTGACCCAAAGCTATAGCACCATGACACAGTCTTAGTCAAGAATAGGCTGGCACATTATTCCGGATTGATAATGAAGTGACATTGGAACAACGATAGTACACGACATCCATAATACAAGTGATGTTGACATCTCACCTAATTACTTTCAATTTTTCATATATATGTCCCAAGACCGTCCCTTTATATAATATGTGCACGTATGTATATTTATTATGGTGAAATTAAACGTTTAGAGTAACTTTAGATTAGAGGGTAGCCTATGATGAGCAACTCAAATGTCGGAGTGGTGAAATTTACAGTTTTGAAATTTTCACTTCTTTTTTCTCTACTCTTCTAACTCAATTCTCGGAGTGGAAATGACCACCCCTCCCCCTCTCCTCTAATGGTCAGACTTACTATTCGGATTTATCGAATGATCCAAAAATAAAATTTGAATTCAACACATACCTAAATGGCTCAAATATTAAAGGAAAATACTCTTTGTACATAACTATTTACATAATGATGATGTGTAAAAATATAAGTGGGGAAGTTATTTTATTGACGAGATTTTAATCCAATTAAATTCAATCACATTATCTGTTGGCAAATCATTATATATATTGGTCGATACATGTAGCACAATCCAATATTAAATTAGAACAGCTTTAACATAGATGTAAAAATCGCAAGATGGAGACAAAAGAAAAGTAGTAGGTTGACTTTGAGATATTGTTGACTATTGACTAAAATAATTGGAAGAATCCAAGATTCTTAAATAGAAAGATTCTAATTTTATTTCCACTTTATTGATTTTTCTTATTTTTCCCGATAAGGATATGCTTTGAAAGATTCTAATATGGTTTCGGACCCTAGGGGCAGGCCCGGTCCTGAGGCCAGGCGGATGAGGCCTGCGCCTCAGACCCAAAATCCAAGGGGGCCTCGTTTTGTTGGCCCAATTTTTTTTTTCGTTTTTGGAGTATGGTAGCCCGCAGCCCAGGCCCCATTAGCCCAAAACTCTCAACCTAGTAGCCCACCCGAACCGCAAAGCCCGATCCACTATCCACACCCAATTTCCCCCAAATGTCAATTGATTTCCATTTTCCCCCAAATCGGATTGGCAAACCGGCGAAACCGAAAACGCCTCCCGTAGCTAGTGAGCCCTCCCCTCTCCGTCTGAACTCTGAAGTGCCAATGTGCGGCTGTGCCATCTCCGAGTCTCTCTCGCTCGACGTTTCGAGGCCCTCGACAGTTTACTCGAAATCTCCTTGACTCCTTCTTCCACTTCCAAGTTCAACCCTAGGTATCTCTGATGTCTCTCTCGGACTCTCTCGGCTCTCATAATACAAATGTATACACTATACATATATATTATATACTGATATAGTCTACTGTCTACGCCTCGATAGCTCGACTGGAGTCACTGGACATCTCCTATTCTCCTTCCGCTTCCGAGTTCAACGGCGTAGCCCTAGCGGTTGAGGTAAGACTCAATCACCATGTTCATGTAATCACTAATCATGTGTATTTATTTACATTTTTTGTGTGTATGTCAGTATATGTATATAGATAGAATCTGTTTGTATTGAGTGTATTTATTTGCTATGATTTATTTACATTTTTTGTGTGTATTTATTTGCTATGATTTATACAACTTTTATTCTTGTTATGGAAAGTATTATATAACTATGCTGGGATGACTTCATAGCAAGTCTTAAACTAATTTAAACCTGTAGATTGTCGTGATGAGCATTTCGAAGTATAGCTGAGTTCTTTTAAGTTATATAACTCCTCCAAGGATAGGTACAAAAATCAGATTTTAATTGAAAGAAGACATCTACTTCTTAATGCTTGGTGACTTGTCATCTTAATATCCAATTCCTTTAACCTTAAGGCCTCCATCAAGTCTCCTAACCCCTTAGTACTTCATACAGGATAGATAGATATATATCTTATAAGTCACATATGTCTCCAAATATGATAAGGGAAAAGTCAAATTTTGCTGCATCAAGCAACATCCTGCTTTAACACACATCATGCTTGTTAACTTGGTTGTGTGCAATATCTTCTTAAATCTTTAAGCAAGGATATGGCCCTAACCATTTAAGACTCTTTATATACCTCCTAATATCTAACCTTCAAGTTATCCCCAAGTGAAAGAGAAAGCAAAGGAAACAAAGAGAAGTAGAAACAAGAAGCTGAAAACTAAATTTATAGGTGAGTTTTTTAGTTCATGGTTTTGAAGGTTGTTTTCATTGTTTTTGAAGATGTTACAATCTCTCAAGAATTTGAAATTGCTTGATATTATGTTTCAAGTTTGTTTGGAATGTTATTATGGCAAAAGAGAGAAAATTAGTAGAGGTATATTGAGTGAAATAACTGAGAATGGGAATTGCATAGTTGCTAGATTTTGCCTATTCAATCTCTGATTTTGGATAATTCTTTGAGTATAACTTTTAGTTATTAATATGAATGCTTTTATATTTGTGTTAGAAGTATATAAATGATCATAATAAAAATTCACGATTTGGTGTTAAATAAAAGGGATTGATTTTCAGGTTGTAAATAAATTACTTGTGATTTAATAACATATTTACGTGGGAGTATTATATAAGTGTGGTAAAAGTTTGGGAATTGCGATATGAGATCAAGGGTACAGAAAGTAAGTTGGAACAATAGAAATTGAAAAACAGATTCTGTCCGTCTTCAAATTTCATAAAGTTCCACCTTCACTCAACACTTATCACCCTAAAGATAGAAAATTCTGATTTGAATATGCGCTATGACATTAATGATCCAGTTAAATGATGTATATATTCGTAGAACTTGGAAAATAATGGTAATTATACAGTCGGTTACTTGTAGTGTTAATCTAAAATATTTTGCCATCTAAGGTCTTTTTATGAATAAAATATTTTTGTACCTATCCTTGGAGGAGTTATTTCTCATCCTCCCTTCTTTCCTGCACTCTCTCATCCTCATCCTTCCTTATTAATGTATTTATCTTACTTAGGGGTTCGTTTGATGTGAAATTTTTGTTTCAGGGTCGGGAGTTGTGAGCTTGTGACAGTGGAATTCTTGAAAGTGTAACTCCAAAGTTTTCGTCAAAATTCTACTTGTCAGGTAAGCAATGGCTTGCCTTAACTTGTTATTGAAGAAATTGAAAATGTTTGTAGTCTTGTCGGCTTATATAATTGTGGCCTGGTCGGCTTATATGATTGACTATTAGAAGATCAACAATTGCACAGGCGCACATAATAACTATATTGAAAACTCTAACTGTGTGATGATTTGAGATATTTTGTATTTGTTTTTTAGGTTAATCATTGAGCATCAGATATAGACTCATACACCATGCCTCCTAAATATGAGTCTGGTGCTCAAAAGAGAAAAAGGAAACGAACTGAGATTTCATTAATTCAAAGTCAAGCAGGGGATATTGGCAAGTACTTTAAAAGCAACAATATGAATAAGTTGAATGAGGATGAAGTAGAGATTCAACCTGCATGTGTTAATGAAGTAGATGATAAGGATGAAGAAGTGAGTCAACCTGCCTATGTTGTAGTAGATGATAAGGAAAAAGAGGTGATGAAACATGCATGTATTAATGAAGTAGATGACAAGGAAGAAGAGAGTTGCTCTTCTCTAAATTTGGATGATCTCGGGAATTGGAAAATTATTAATCAGAGAACAAGGGATTACTTAGTTGAAAGGGGTCCAAAAAGAGTTGATGACATCTCGTTTCTGAAAGATTGTACAAATAGGCATTTTGATTCTTCACAATATAAGCGATTGCTACGAAGTGGGCAAACAATTGATAGAAGATGGCTAGTCTATTCAATATCTATGGACAGTATCTTTTGCTTTTGTTGTAAGTTGTTTAAAACAGCCAAAAACGCTACCAGAGTTGGCCAACTTGGTAACGATGGATTCAAAGATTGGCATAATTTGCATCGGTCTATTAAAAGTCATGAAGGAAATGAAGAGCATTTATGTTGCATGACTAGCTGGATTGAATTGGAAAATAGGCTTCGAACAAAAATTACAATTGATAAAAGCGTTGAATTGTTGATCGATGCGGAAAGAGAACATTGGAGGCATGTACGAACAAGGATAATCGCTATTGTAAAAAGACTCGCCAAAAACACCTTGCCATTTCGAGGAGATGATGAGAGGCTAAATGTTGAGAACAATGGTCTGTTTTTACGAATGGTGGAAATGGTTAGTGAATTTGATCCAATAATGAAAGAGCACCTTCGGCGGGCTAATGCAAAAGAGATTCAATACACGTATCTTGGCAAAAAAATTCAAAATGACTTGATACAGTTGTTAGCTAATGAGGTGAGAAATGCAATTGTCAAGAAAGTTAAACATGCAAAATATTTTGCAGTTATACTTGATTGTACTCCAGATGCAAGTCATGAGGAGCAGATGTCGTTAATAGTACGATTTGTAGATGATTCGGCAAACTTACCTACAGTTGAAGAACATTGGCTTGAATTCTTGAAGGTAGATGACACAACAGGACTTGGACTGACAACCGAGCTTCAAAAAGCTTTGATCAAATTCGATCTGGATATTGATGACATTAGAGGGCAAGGGTATGATAACGGATCTAACATGAGCGGGAAGTACAAAGGTGTGTAAAGAAGAGTACTTGAAATGAATCCTCGAGCTTTCTATACTCCATGTGGCGCTCATAGTCTAAATCTAGCGTTATGTGATATGGTGAATTGTTGTTCCAAAGCTGTATCATTCTTTGGAGTGATACATCGCATCTACACTTTGTTTTCATCTTCTACCAAGCGATGGCAAATTTTTAAAGATAATGTAAAAGAGTTGACAGTAAAGCCGTTGTCACTATCACGTTGGGAAAGTCATGTTGAGAGTGTGAAGTCTATAATGGAGCAAATTGCACAGATAAAAGAAGCATTACTTGATTTGGCTGAAACTAACGAAGATCCTAAAATAAAGAGTGAAGCCGAGTCGTTGGCAACACATGAATTTCAGGATTTTGAGTTCTTGCTTGGCATGATAATCTGGTATAGGTTGTTGCATGCAGTCAATATTGTGAGTAAATTTCTTCAAACTGAATCCATGGACATTGATCATGCTATCGACCTATTGCAAGGACTTGTTTCATTTCTTGAAAATTGTAGAGAAATTGGATTTGCCATTGTCAAGGATGAAGCGACAAAAAAGGCAAATGAAATGGGAATTGAAGCTGTATTTACAGAATAATGCATAATTCGAAGAAAAAACAATTTGATGAAAACTGTAGTAATGAGGTAAAGCAATCAGCGGAAGAATCATTTAGAGTTGAGTACTTTGTTTTTATAATTGATCAAGCTCTATCTTCTCTGAGGACTCGATTTGAACAATTCAAACTATATGATGATATATTTGGATTTTTGTTTAATTTGAAGAGGTTAAAGAGTGCAACTTTATCGAGTTTGTTGAACTCTTGTATGAATCTTGAGAAATATCTTGAACATGATCGGCTTTAGGATATCAGTGGAGATGATTTATGTTCGGAATTACAAATCTTGAAGATTTATTTATCAAATGAAGCAACAAGAGCAACTGAAGTGCTACACTATTTGAAGACATTGGATGTTTGTTTTCCAAATGCTTATATTGCTTACAAAATTTTGTTAACCGTACCGGTTGCAGTTGCATCTGCGAAAAGAAGTTTCTCGAAATTGAAGTTGATCAAGACTTATCTCCAATCAACTATGTCACAAGAAAGATTAAACGGGTTGACTATGTTATCAATAGAAAAAGAAATGGTTAAGCAGCTAAGTTATTCAGATTTGATTGATATTTTTGCCTCTAAAACAGCAAGACGAATAGTATTTAACTAATTGTTTGAAATTTTTGGTTTGATGGTTTATAATATAATCGTTTTTATGATATATTTCGTTGTTGTTTTAATGTTAGTTTTTTAAGTTAGCAATGAGTCGCATAATACACCTTTGAATTTTGTCGATGGGGGGCCTAATTTTCATCATTCGCCTCAGGGCCCGTCAAACACAGGACCGGCTCTGCCTAGGGGTGTCCGATAAAGACTTCCAGGACGAAATGTCAATCAAATTTTTATAATTAAATGTTGAGTGAAGTTTATTCTAGTCACAAATAATAATTCCGTCACAAAATTATATGTCATATTATAAATTGCAAACGAATTTTCTAGTGTGGACGCTTCTTATGTTAATGAGACTCACTCGTTAATTGGTTGTTCAATAATCACGTTTTTCATTTCATAAAAGTCATGTTTACGTAAATAGAACTATGTTAAAGATGAATTTCATTAGCATGCCTTTTGTTTTAAAAGAGTGAGATTGAATCTATTTCCAGTCGACTTAGTAGCTAATGTCAAGTGGACTCTACGGTAGAAAACCCATCTATCCCGTTGGAAGGGATGCTAGAGTTTACGATTTCCGTTGTTATTGATGATCAATTAAAAAACCAAATCGAAACTTTGGCAAAAAAGTTCAAATCGAACCTTTCTTTTTTTTCCCACATTAGTCAAGCCTGGACTGAAATGCAGAATTAATTATTGTATTATGCATTTCTTATATTATCACTTATTTTCTCCATGAACTAGGAATTTAAGCAAATTTGACTAGTAATTATTCCAAGGAATTTAGCTCCTTTTTGGTTTTGATAAAAATAAGATTTTCAACAGATTTTGATAAAAATTAATGAAATATATTATCGAAAGTTGATAAATGTTGTGACATTCATGAAATGTATGATTGAATATAAATTTTAAGAAATAGAGTTCAGTTTCATTTAGATCATGCTCCATAGCTCATCAGCAAAAGTTTTTAGCCCCTGTTTGGCCCTCATTTGTGGTAATGAAAATGGGAGGAATAGTGTATTGTTGAAAAAATGAGTGGTTGAAAAAGAAGGAAAAATTTTCGATTTACGTGTAATATTATTTTATAAAAAATTGTGTGGTTGAAAATAGGAGAGAGAAAAATAAAATATAATAGAATGTAATTTAATGAAGGCCATGAAAAATCTCAAGGAAAACTTAAAGAGATACCATTAATTTTGGGTTGTTTTTAAAAAATATTATAAAATATAAATATTAAAATTTCAATTATTATAACCATAAGAAATATGGTGTAAACACAACAGCAATATTCCATCAGAAATTTCAAAATCTACGCACTTCAAATCAAGCAAAATCGAATTTATAGGAGGAAATATTACACAAATCAAGACCAAGCAAGATCAAATACTGTTTCAACTACCTTTTATTCAAATCTACTGGTTGTAGAATTTTAACTTTTGATTCAATCATGTCATATTTTGTTTGATTATTGAGTAACAAATTATATATTTATGAATATTAAGTACAAAAAAGGACAATTATATGATATTAATTAATGATAACAACTAATTTAATGTCTTTAATTTACTGTGAAAATCATGAACATAATTTTCACTTTAATTTTGATATTGTTGAGGTGTTTTTGTTCTGATACATACGAAATTCCATCTTTAGATTAACGATTTTAAGTTAGTATATAGTAAATTTCAAATTTATATGAATTGATTTAGTTAATATATATGAAAATTCAACTTTCTATTAATTCATGTTATGCATATAAGGCATTTGAGTTTTAAAGAAGGCCACCGACTATCGTATTTGAACTTTTTGGGATCATTTAAAGAGATGCAAACATGTTTATTTGTGAAAATTTAAATGTAAATATGAATTCAAACTTTGCTTTAAATGAGAAAGTGAATGATATAACATTTTGTTTGACATTTGCATATGAATCAAATTGGAAGAATTTGAAAGTAACATGGTTTGTCATTTCTTTAAAAGGTCAAGAACTATCTCATGTGTATTCTTTTTGAATCAATTAAAGATATGAATACATATTTGTTTATGAAAATTTAAATATGGATAAGTACTTAAACTTTGCTTTTAAAATAAAAAGTCACATGATGTAACACTTTTTTTTTTTTTTAAATCTTTGCATATGAATTAATATGCTGAATTTTAAAAGTGATAAGCTCCATCATTTTTCTTTTTATTTTTTATATGAAAAGTCTCACATTATTTTATTTGGGTCCTTTTTGCGTATATGGATAAAATTAACGTCTTCATTTGTTTTGGAGACAAATGAGAACAAGATAAAAAATATAAAAGAGACTTGTATACATCATTTATACTTTTGGGATTAATATATTAGCGGTATCCCTTTTCAAACATGTAAGATTTAAATACTAATAAAACATTTGTCACTTTTGTAAAAATATATCATATCACTTTTCATTGCAACTACTACCATAAAAATTATTAGTACTGTTGCTGTAAATTCTTACAAGAAACAGAACATTGTTTTTATTTTTATTTTATTTTATTTTTTATCAAAGTGTCCGCATTCGACAACTATTTCTTGGGTCTGTGATCCGGCCCCTCTTCACACAGACCAGTTAAACCGCGAGATGTGCTTCCAACTGATCAGGGTCCGAGCACCTCTCCAACTGGATTGTCAAAGTGCCTAGTGAGCCAACCCATGTTGCATCTTGCCTTCCAAGACACTCCTACCTTCCAGGATAAATCCTGCCTTCCAGTATGTGTCTTGCCTTCCAAGAGCCCCAAGAATCGAACCCACAACCTCTGATTTGCCAGTAGTGAGGTTATCTCACGCCTTACTGGCAGTCGCAGTGTGGAGTTCGATTTCTGAAACATGGAATTGGACTCCTCGTAGGCGTAGTGTACAAACAGCTCTTATTCACTGGCCTGCTAGAGCACATCCTGCGATTTACCATGGCAATATCTTTATCACTCATTTCAAAAACAGTTTTTGAATTCCAAAACGGATTAACGGCCTAGATCTTGCCAACATTGATTTTGTCGACAAACTTTGTTAACCTACTTTGTACAAGTAGATAAATTGTTTAAGGTTTTACTTTTTTTTTTTTTTTTTTTTTTTTTTAAATTAGACAACAATTTTATAAAGTTCAAAATGTACATGACATATCATGTCACTTCTATGAAAAAGATAAGGTATATCATTGTTGAAAAAGTATCATAACTATAAAATTTATTAGTATTGTTGTTTTAAATTGTTGCAAGAAACAGTGCATTGTTGTCATGTATATGCAATCTCATCATGCAATAAAAATGGTATATCCTTATGTTTTCACATAAGTTAAATTAGGCAACAAAATTTTGTAGCGCAGAGTGTACATGTCACTTTTTGAATGGCTAAGGTATAAGACTATTATCATATTGGCATGAAGTTTTTGTGATAACTTGTGACACTAGATTCAATGACATCCTCTTACAGGCCTTCAAAGGTAAAAAGAAAATATTTATTTGCATAATTTCCTTTGATAAATCACGTGCAATCATTTATATCATGCCAAAAGAAATCACTTACCAAAATATTGAATACAACCAGGTTATCCAATAAACTAACAACTAAAATTCAAATGTCAAATAAATTTATTAATCAGAGCTTGTCAGTCCCATACAAATCATCTATTATCGAACATCCCCAATGTCATTTACATGTTATTCCTACCTCATCAGATACATTTTTATCTTTGTCTGATCAACATATCACAAATATCTTTCCTTTGAATGAAAAAGTAACATAAATTCAAAAAAGTAACATAAGTTCAAAAAAGCGACGAAAACAATTTGTGGTTATTTTAGAGCTACTTGGGGATTTTGGGTGTTTTTGGCGTAATGAATACTAGAATTAAAATGTTAATTAATTTTAAGAGTATTAATTTAACATTTTTATTTTGTTGGAATAGTGGACCTAATCTCTCCAAATTACAAATAGTGTTGATACGATATTATTGAAAAAGACAAACATAAGAGGAAATTATGTTTAGTGTTGTCTTTCTTTTAAAATTCAAACTTACTTTCCCCTTTTCTTTTTTTTTTTTAATTATGTAAATACATTTTTTTTTATATATATAGTATTTTCAACATTAGAATTAGCCACTGTTTGCATGCATTTTAATGCGTTTTCATTTTTTTTTTCTTCTCTCTCTCTCTCTTTTTTTTTTTGAAAATAAATTTGGAATAGTGATTTTTTTGTAGAATGGGTGGTTAAAAAGTTAAAAAAAAAAAAAAATTGTAGGTTTTCGTGCAAACTATTTTATTGTGTGAATACATGATTGAAAATAAGTTTAAAAAAAATAGTTTTGATTTAATGGATGTCAAACGAGAGCTTAATACCCCAAGCTTCCAAACACACTTATATAGAGAAAAGCAGAAACCCCAAAGATCTCGTATATCTGAACCCTAATTTTCTCTTTGGGATCGTAATTTCTCCTCTCAT